GTCCGCCTCCGCAGGCTGGGGAGGGGGCGCTGGGCCAGCTCCTCCCAGGCCACCTCCCTTCTCTCATTCATTCCCAAGGAGATCGTGGGAAGCTTGGAGGAAGCTGGCCACAGTTTGGGGTGAGCTATTTTTGGTAACAGGGTCTTTGGTCTCAGGCTCCAGGGGCCGAGGTGACTGGGAGGGAGCTGTTTGCATTTCCTCTGGCCCCTTCTGCTCCTCCCTGCCTGGGCCCAGGAGACAGGGCTGCCTGGGGTGTGAACTTGCCTCTCCTCCCTGGGCCCAGGAAGCCTTCCTGCTGGCAGCTCCAGCACCGCGGGAGGGCGAGGAGGAGCACTTCTGTGTGTTCTCCGCTCTCCAGGGACCATTCCCTAGAGCCTGGCATCAGGCCCTCTCCCCAGCCCCTGGCACTCAGGAGGCAGCTGGGATGCTTGCTATCCCTTGATCTGTAGTAGGCTGGCTCTTGCATGTAGTGTCATTTGGTGCTCAGACAGCCCTGGGAAGTAGGCAGCCCAGGCAACACGCCCCATTCACAAGTGAGAAAAATGAGGTTCTGAGAGAGCACAGGGGTCCCCAGAGGCTGGGGTTGGTGACCGGCAACTGAGTGCCTCCCAGTCTAGGAACCTGCAAGGACAAGGATGTGCTGCTGGCCTGGCACCGTCACTGTGGCAGGACAGCCCAACAGTCCCCTTTGGAGGAGGGAGACTGAGCCCAAGCTTGGTGACCGGGTGGCCCTCTGGGTGCAGAGCTTTCCTCAGCCAAGGTGAGGCTGGGGTCCATCCTGTAGTGATACAGTCTTCCCTGTCCCCAGCTAGCCTCTTGGGGTCACCATCCTGGCCCTTCCTGCCCTCTGTAGGGCTCTCCGGCAGGTGTCCCCCCTGCAGGAGGACCTGGTGGCTCAGCACCATCTTTTGTGTCCTCCAGAGCACAGAGGCCCACAAGAACAGCAAGGATGGCTGGCTGGTGTGGACGGGCACCCGGGAGCACCTTGTGTCCAGTGGATTCAACCAGGTAGGGCTCCTCCCAGATGGGCGGGGTACCCACACCAAGAGGGTAGGAGTGAAGCCCAGGGGGAGGTGGGGGACGGCTAGCCAGCTCTAGGCTTGTCCATATACGGCCCTGTGTGCAGCTGGGTCTCAGAGCCCCAGGGGACCTCCAGCTGCTGAAAACTGGCAGATTCCATTTGCAATAGCTAAGCCTGACCCTGGGAACCGTGGCAGCCCCCCCCAAGGGACCAGAGTCCATGGAGGGAACCGCCCCTTGTCCCTTGTCACCTAAGGGTTCTTAAAGGGGCCGGACATGCAAACCCAAACCCTCCCTCCCTGCCATGACTCACCCCCCACCGCCACCCTCCAAGCTCTGCTCTGGGGCAGGTGCCCCTGTGTCAAGGCTGTTTCCTCAGGCATTGGGTTCCCGGGGATGGGCCCCTCTGAGCCCCTCTTGGCTCCCTCCCTGCAGATGCGTGAGCGTGAAGTGAAGCTCTGGGACACCCGGCACTTCTCCAGCGCCCTCACCTCCATCACCCTGGACACCTCACCCGGGTAGGAGCAGCTGGCATGTTGGGATGGATCGGTGGGGAGGGTCAAGGGCTAGATGGTGTCCTAAGTCCAGGTCTGTAATGGACACCATTGGGGAGGGTTCCAAATGTGCCCTGGCAAGGCCCCCTGCGGAGTGGAGGGGCCCAGTCCAGCTGGAACAGGCCTCACCTGGTTCAGGTCTTGTCAGTGAGGGGCGGAGCACCAAAGCGGTCACGGTGCCTGAGCTGGGCTGTGGGGTCGCCTGTTGACCCCATCTCATGACCCTAGCCACAGAGTGGGCCCTTGGCCGTGCAGGCCTCAGCCTGAGGGCTCATGTCGGCGTGTTTTGGCATTTGGGGGAAGGACTGTGACCCGGCAGACACATGGGTGGGAGACATGGACATGCCCTTGATTTTGCTGTGGCTGTTTTGGTGATGCCGAGGGTCGAAGAGACCAAAGCTTTGATAGGGTGGACGTGGTGGGGAGGTGGGGGGGACATTCAGGCTGGCAGGCTTGCAGGCTTTATGGAAGCTCCTTAGCCCGGGCCACACGC